CTGTAAAGCAACTTGCAGTCGCCTCCGCAAAGTTCTACAAGGCAGACACAAACTTACGCTAGGCCAAAGGGTTCTGTTGTGGCGATCCACGGTACTCCCCACGGCCCTATACTCTTTAGGAGCCTGCGGTCTCAACGAGGAACAGCTTCATTCTCTGCAGACAGTACTCATGCGGCAACTTCGCGCGATTGCGAGAGCCCCCGCTCACATCACACATGAATCAGACCCCGAGCTACTTTCCAGACTTCGCCTGCAGACTCCCCAACAGGATCTGGAACGGCAACATCGCGTATTGGTGGATCGCCGGGATCCTGCAGATGTTCATGTGCAGCAATCGGATCACCCATGGATGAGACACCTGCTGAGTTGTTGGTCTCCTTCTCCTTACCCAACTCACTCCGGTCAGTCTACGGTGCACTTCGTACAGCCTGAAGGGAACAGGGATGCTAGCGTGGACGCTCCTGAGGTTGACAACCTGTCACCACCTAATAGGCCTGCCGTGCTCAACGCCGTTCGCGACCCTGTGCATCCTAGACATCTACAGCCTAATGCCACCTACCACACTCCACTCCCGCCACCCATCGCTCCCCTAACACCCCCGGCCACAACCGCTGTCCCCTCCACCCATGAAGCCATAGCGCCGCCTGTTGAGGCTAGTCGCGTACAGACAACTGGATGGTCATTCCCTCACTGTCCCAAGGAATACCACAGCCTCTCGACCTTGCGATGGCATATCACCAAGGTTCACAAGCTCTACATGCGTAAGGTCCGGTTCAATCGAGCGCAGCATGCACTTCAGGGTATGCCGATCTGTGCCCTATGTGGCGTCGCCTTCGCGCGATGGGAGGTGCTGGAGACCCACGTTACCCAGCAGCGCTGCACTCAGGAACTCCCCACGGAAAGGTTAGACTCCCAGCCCGCCATGTGCACCGAGGAAACATCCGTGAATCAGAATGCCAGCTCGGCTAAGGATGCGGTCGCACTCTCGTCAGCTGTGCCCCACCTTTCTCGACCCGATGATGACAAGCCTTGCCACCGACAGCAGGAGACACAAAGGCCGACGGGCATGTCAGTCCCTAAGGTAGACACTCAAGAGGAGAGAAGCGCACCAGCGGTCATGACCTCGCTTGCACGCCTTACGGAGGCCATGCAGGTTCTCCGGCTGTCCGGACTCCAGGGACTTATGAGGGCGGAGTGGATAAATGAGCTAGCGCACCACTGCCTGTTCTGTGGACAATGGCACGACCGTTCCCACACCATTAAAATCCACATGCGCAGCCAACATCCTGAGCCATTTGTCTTTAACGAGCAAGCCACTCAGTTGGCCGCCCGTCTAGGTGGAGCCTTCTCGCCGTGCCTCTACTGTGGACAAGCCAGGGCCCATCCGAGACAACACCTTGCCACTTGCATCGCGCTCTGGCAAGCCTGCCTTGTTGCACTACAACATGGGTATGAACCCCGCAGCGGCAGACTCGGCGATGGAGGAGCTCTTCGGTCCGGTGATGAGGGGCAAGCGCCCAACCACGGCGGAGCCCACGGACACAGCCAACGCGCCAGAGCGCCAGAACAAGGCAAGCAAACCCAACTCAGGTGGGAAAGGAAAGGGCCATCGCTACGGCAGGGGGAACCGCTCGGGCGGTCAGCAGGGCGGAGAATCTCAGGGCCAGACGCATCAGCAGCGAGGACAACAGGGTCAACAGGAGACGCTGAGGCTGGTGACCAGACTTCTAATGCATCACCAGGAGGCGATCTCCACGCTCCGACTCAGCACGGGGTGGGTATGGTGGCTCAAGATCCCGGCACCGTCGCCAATCCCTGCCCTGGTTCAGGCTGCCAAGGTGTGGCGAGAGTCGGTGGTCAAGCCAGACAGCAAGCTCAAGAACACTCCCATCAGACAGGCCATGTTCTGGAGTCTGATAGAATTCATCAAGTCCTCGGTCCAAAGCCCGAGCGAGGAGACCCTCAAGACGGTGAAGAGCTCGGGATGGGCAAACGACGCTGGTCTCTGGATCTATCAGAGGTGGTGCCCAGATCTCAAGGCACTGACGGTGGACACCGCGCGGACCCCCATCTCTCCGGGAGAGCTCTTGAGGATCCTCCAGGAGATTCAAGGGCTTCTCCACCCAGACACATTGTCACGCTTTCATGCGCTGCGGGGCCTCGAAGAAGGCATGGAAGGACAAACAGTCCGAGTGCTCATGGATGTCGCGAACCGCTGCTCCGAAGCGAATCAACTCTTCGATCTTCTCACGCAGCTCCAAGGATGTGCCGCCCTGCAATTGGCGGGAGTTCAGTTCAGGAGAGAGACCATGCAGCGTCCGCCTACGCTTCAGCAGCTCTTGGATCGCGTGTACTCCTGAGGACCATTACTCTTAGCAATCCAGGTAACTACTGTTACTTTAATGCCTCCGCCAGAGCTCTCCTCTGGACCATCTTGAACGGTGACCATTTTTCACAGGACGGCCCGATGGCTCTCACGCACGCTGGATGCCAGGCATTCTCTTTTCTGAGTAGGTTGCCGCGCCGCCCTCATTTCATACCCGGTATGCTCCTATGGCGTTTTGCCATGACAGGCTGGGCCAACGCACACAGACAGCATGATAGCGCCGAATTCCTCGCACATCTGATCCGCAAACTCTGCCCCCAGGCAACTTCGGGGGAATGGGAGGCGCGCCGTGACACGGAACTCGGGATTCGCATTACAGAGTCCGGAGAGTGCCACCAGGCAGTCACTCTGGACCTCCCAAACGGGGATGAGCTAGGGACTCAAAGTCTCTTACATGCGTGGCACCATCAAGCTTCTGTACATGCCCTTAGGGTGCCGCCTGAGCTCCTGGCGCTCAGATTTGCTCGTTACACGCACGGACCCGAGGGAGCATGTAAGCACCATGCTCTTATTACATGGCCCCGTACCATCAACATGTCATGCTTCACGGGGGAGGGTATGGAATCTTGCAATGTCACATACACTGTAGCAGCCGCTGTCTTGCACCGTGGTCCAGACATCCAGTCAGGCCATTACACCACAATCATACATGACCATGCCTCAGGTGTTGATTACTTCTGTGATGACGGCCTCGAGCCTACAGCCTTGAGCGACACATCGGGACTCAGACGAGGGGACGCTCTCGCATCCAGGGAGGTTTACATGTTGCTTTGCAGGCGCGGGGATTAGCTGGCCTTCAAGAGGCCCAGCACACATGCACCACGATATCTTCTTGCCCCGTCTTGTCGGCGAGGCATGGGGAAGAGGCCGCGGGCCGGGGGCTCGCCGCGGGACTTGCCGCACTGCAAATTCAGTGGGCTTCAAAACGTCTCCCTTGCTTCCACTGCATCGCATACCTTTCTGCATTCATGTGTCCTCCCCAGTGCTGGACTGCCCCACTCTTTGTTTCCTCTTGCGCCTCACCGCTCAAGCCCACATTGTCCATGCATGCCATGTCAGCCGACAGCACGTCACATCAGTCGTGGCCCAGCAAGCCCGATAACGTGCCTGCAGAAGTATGGGAACTTGAGCTCCCCTCCATTTTGGGCCCAGCGCACCCACGCTTCGCCAATCAGGTGGACTCACCCAGCTCGCTGCACAGCTCGGCATCTGAGCCTGCCGCCTCCACCGACCTTGACCCCGAGAGCCCTAAATCTCCTCCCCTAATCGCTGAGGATATGGATTTGGAACTGGTATGTCCTCCACGCGTCGAGCCCCTCACTTCAGCGGATTCTGTTACTGAGGAGTGGAATGTTATGGAGAGCCAGCAGCAACACGTTCTGGATATGTGCCATCAGTCGGTTCGCAACCACCCACCACACCAACTGGCACTCACTTTTCCAGGCGAGGCCACCATGATGACGAAGAGACGGTGCACGGTGGAGAACATGGCTAATGGTATCCTGGACGCAGGCGTTGCCACCTTCGAGAATCTCTCAGCGATTATGGATGCTTTACCGGACCGGGCCACGGCGAAACGGCGAAAGCAGCTCAGTGCAAATGTGCCTCGTCAATGCAGCTTCTCGTCAGGTGCTTACACCTTTGCGCACGACACAGGTATCCTGACGAGCACGGGGCTGTACCCGCAAGTCACACGGGCGCTCACGGCAATCATCCGCGAAGCCTGCGGGCCTGAATTTACATTCTCATCAGTCACGCTTCAAAGGAACACCTTGATGCAGCTTCACAGTGATGCCCATAACGATCCCTGCTCACTCAACGCAGTGATTCCTTGTTCTCGCTGGAAAGGAGGGAGCTTATGGGTTCAGAACGCTGCCGGAGCCCACGTCTTTGATCAGACCTCAGGTCCTGGTACGATGCACAGAATCGGATGGCCGCACTGTACGTTTAGTCCGCTCCTGAAGCATGCTACCACGCCGTGGTCATGCGGGGACAGACTGATCCTCATCGGCTATACCGTGCGCTCATTACAGAGACTTTCGACTGATTCAAGGAAACGGCTCCTGAACCTTGGTTTTCGACTGCCTGCGCTGATGACGGAGCACTCGCTGACGGAACATGGCCATCACGGGCAATGCTGAGCACACCTGTGTCGTAGACACGGTCGATGCGGGGAATAGCCTCGCGTTGTGCGCATTGGTCCTTTATAGTTATGTGCGCTGTCATTCGTGACAGCGCGGAGTCTTGGTACGCTCAACAGCAGCGTGATGCACCATGCATCCGGCGAACACTCGCTGACCTAGTTCCTGTCGCAACGTTCGGATCTCTCCTAACTGCGGTACAAACAAACCAGCACCACCACCACCCCCACCGCCACCACCGCCACCACCACCAGCAGCCACCACCACCACCACCACCGCCACCACCACCACCACCACCACCACCACCACCGCACCACCACCACCACCACCACCAGCCACTACCCAGCAGCACCACCACGACCACCAGCACCAGCACCACCACCACGACCACCAGCACCAGCACCACCACCACCAAACCCAGCAAACCCAGCACCACCACCACCACCGCCGCCGCCACCACCACCACCACCGCCGCCGCCGCCACCACCACCACCACCACCGCCGCCGCCGCCACCACCACCACCACCACCACCACCACCACAATCAGCAGCAGCAGCACCACCACCACCACCACCACCACCACCACCATTAGCAAACCCACGAAACCCACGAAAGCCACCAAACCCACGAAACCCACCACCATAAGCACCACCAGCAGAACCCACCCCACTCAAAAGAAAAACGCCCAAACCACTAATGCTACAACCCTCCCTCCTGAAAACCCCTAGCACCCCAAACCTAAAGGAATTATATAAATACCCAAGCCCCCAAAACCCCAGACCCTTTAAATCCCCACTCCTATAAACTGCATGAAGTTTTCTTTTTGTTTTCTCTATTTATATCTCTCTTCTTCTTACAACTATATATATATATATATATATGCATGCTATCATATGGATATATATATATACACAGATACACAAACATAATAGTTTTCTGCTGTTGCTTCTAATGCAGCATTTTATATTTTCTAGCATGCACACAGAAACGGAATTTTGAAATTGATATGCATATGTTGGTTTTATCTAGCAAAGCACCTTGGCGAAGCATGCATGGGCATTGTCATTCTCGAAAGCATGTTTGCATCCGCAGCCGCTTGCGAAATCAAAATCAGGGTGAGAAGTGGAGTTTTTAGAAAGTAGCAAGCCCGAGGCACTGAAGGATGCCTCCAAAAAAGACAGTGTTGAAGTCAGTTTTGAAGAACAAGGGTGCAGGCTTGGGAAAGCCAAAAGCAAAGGCGAAGGCCAAAGGCTTGGGAAAGCCAAAGGCAAAGGCAAAGGCCAAGGGTTTGGGAAAACTCAAGCTGAACAAGAAGAACCTGCAGAAGGTTCCCGAGGCTTGGAAAAGCTTGGAGGAGAAGGTGGCAGAGGCTGCCGCCGCCAGCGAGGACCCGCTGGTGCAAGCGGCGGTGCTGAAAGAGTCCTTGACGGACAAGGAGGCCCAGAGCGCCTGGGGGAAGCACAAGACCTACTTGAAGAATGCCTCCGAAGACGAGCAGGCGGAGCATGCTTGGAAAAGCAAGAAGGAGAAGGGCTTGAGTGCGGCTCTGTTCCTGCTCCAAAGCGAAGGTAAGAAGTACATGGCCTCCAAGCAGGTCGTGGGCGCCTTGGAAAAGGTGAAGAAGAAGGACGCTTGGGAAAGCGAGAAGACCATGCTTACCAGATGGACGGAGCAAGAGCTGCAGGCTCACCTTGCCAGTGGCAGAGTGAGCTGGCGGCAGGACCCGAGCACCCCGGGAGTCTGGGAGTACAAGGACAACCAGAGAATTGTCCGTACTTCCGAAGGCACCCGGGGTGCCACTTGGGAAAGTGGTGTCGAAGGGGAACAGAGCCCAGACAACTTGGAAAAGTTCCAGCAGCTGTACGGGGACGAGGCCATGGCCATGCCCAGCAGTGGCATGGTCAGCAGTTCCTTCAAAGGGCCTGGAAAGGGCGGCAGCAAGGGCTTGGGAAAGCCGGCCTTGAAGGGCAAGCCTGGCCAGCTTGCACTGGAGGACGGGAAGGCAGACGACGAGGGCGAGGAGCCTTCGCTCGAGAAGCAAGTGGCGAAAGCAGAGGCCGCTGTTCGCAAGGCCATGAGCCAAGCCCACAAGTGCAAGACAGAGCCTGAAGAGACCTTGGAAAAGGTCAAAGGAACACTGTCCAAGTCGAGGCTCGCGAAAAGCACGTGCTGGCTGGCAAGCTTGGAGAAGCAGGAGGGGGTGCTCAAGACGACCCTGAAGAAAAAGCAAGGGCTCGCTGCTCTCAAGAAGGTCTTGGAAACCACAGCCCAAGTGATCAAGCAGGCTCGAGACGAGCGAAAAGAGCTGCGACACCTGGAGAACAAGGCTCCAAGTGTTGCCAGCAGCAAGAGGAAGTGAGCCCTGGAAAGGGCCTCAGAGCTTGGAAAAGCTCGCCGCTGAAGGCTTGGAAAAGCTCGCCACTGCAGGCTTCGGGAAGCTGTGCAGGCTCTATATAGCTTGGGAAAGCTTTCTGAGTAGCTTGAGTAGCTGCAGTTCCGAGTAGGCCCTTCCGTTTGCAGACTTAGCCTGCAGGGTGCAGCAACAGCTTCGAGCACAGTCGTCTAGGCTATAGCTATAGCATATAAAATGCATGCAGTGCTTCACAGCTTGTCATGAGGTTAGACAGAAGCAACCACGGCTTTTAAGGCAGGAAGCACCCTTAAGGCCTGACTTTGAAGCTTCAAGCACCGCCGCCGAAAAAAAGCCTTTGCAGCCTTGCAAGATTTTTTTCTTCCAGGTATGTTTGTCTGCATGTTTTGTGCCATTGTTCGAAAGCATGCATTGAAACTGCACGTCTGCAGCTCTTGTCAAGTTTGAAGAAACAGCTGCTGTAGCACTAGCCTCTACAGCTCGAGGATTGCAGCCGCCAACTGTATGTATAGATCTCTGTGGGTTTGGAAAAAATTGGCTTGGGAAACCATGACCAAATGTTTGAGAGGCTGGAAGATGGACCTGGAAATTGGAAAATCTCCAAAAACAATATAAAGTTAAAGATGAATTGCCGGAATTCGCCAAAGAATCCCTGGAAAAGAGCGAATTAACCTCGAGCTTGGTGTTTTCGTTTGCCATCGACAGGGTTTTCAAGCTTCAGCACTTTGGTTATAAGCATAGCTTGGGAAAGCTGCTTGGGTCATCAGTTTAGGAAAGCGCGGTTCCCCACACTGCAGAGCGGTCCAGTTCTGTTCTCCTGCCATGAAAAGCATGTTGTCACCTGTAGCATGGTTCAAAGGCTGCGAGCAAAGCCATATGAGCTCGGGGCAAATTCGACTTTACATGTAGCAGGCATGCAAGACGAATTGTACTGTGTTTCTTGGAGGCATCTCATGCTCTAGACAGTCTGGAGTTTCCCAGAAACTCATGCTACAACAATATCCCTTGGCATGTTCGAATAGCTTGCACTTTAGTTCCGAGCTCGTGCCCTCAGCCCATCGATGCCATGGCAGCATGGATGGGGCAAGAAGCCTTCGGAAAACTGGCATGGGGCCGACAGAAGCCAGTGGCCGGCTTGGGAGTGGCAAGAATGGCAGCGGGGGGAAGCTTGGGAAAGCAATGCGAAGGACATGGAGAACAGGGTAGCTGCCTTGGAAAAGGCAAGGACTGACATGGAAAGCAGGATAGAGGCCTTGGAAAAGGCATGGGAAAGCAATAGGGAAGACTTAGAGAGCAGGATAGCGGCCTTGGAAAAGGTGCAGCGGGAAGCTTGGGAAAGCAATATGGAAGACTTGGAAAACAGGGTAGCGGCCTTGGAAAAAAGATCAGACAGTAATAATCGTCCCAGAATGCTAAACTCGCAAGGCAAGTGTGGCAGAAGGCTTCGCATGGTCCCACAAGCTTTGAACTCACCCTCAGAAAGTGAAGCTTCCTCAGAGGGTGAAGCTTCCTCAGGGGTTGAGGTTGATGTTGAGGCCTTCGAAGCTGCATACAGGTTCTTGGGAAAAGGCCCCTCCCCACGGACATCCTTACACCTGGAAAAGGATGAGCTCAAAGAGCTTTTAAAAGATGTGGAAAGGCTTGGGAAAGCCCTGGAGGCCAGGGACATGGCTAGCTTCTTGGAAAAGGAGCATGGCGAAGGATCTTTTGACCCTGGACATGATTCGTTTCACGACTCAACCTTGCCGAGAGTTGGAAACTGGGTTTTGTCGTTGTCCGGGTCTTTCTTGGGAAAGAGCTTCATCAGAAATAAATACAATAACACAAGCACACTCGGGAAGTTTTGCGAAAACGTCCTTTGGAGAATGCACAACTCCATGGACGAACAAGTACGGCAGAACGGCAAGCTTTGGCTTGTTTTGTTGGTCAGGCTGCGGGAGATCAGCTTTAGTCTCACAGGCAGGCTGTGGTATGAGTTCTCCTGGCGAATGACTTTGCAAGAGTTCAGCCGGAAACTGCAGAGCGAACTCTTGCAGTCAGGCTCTTCACCATAAAGGCTCTTGGGAAAGACCGAGACAGCTTGCCTGAGAGACTACAGGCCACGAGCATGCAGCTTGGAAAAGCAACTGAGCCGCCTGGCACATTCGATCAGCATGGGTGTGTGTCGCTGAAAATAGCGAATAGTATCGAATACTGCTGCACCTCTTGAGCCGCAGTGAGAAAACCTGAAGACTGAGCTGCATGTATGGCTCTTGGAAAAGATGCACAATTGCAGCTTCTTGGAAAAGACTGGCTTGGCGGCTTGGCAAAGCAGCTTCTTGAAAACGAATTATACTGCTGTCGCGGCTTGGAAAAGCTGGATCGGTAGGCAGCTGACTGCACTACTGGACGGCTCAGCAGCGGTGCTCCAAAAAAGCGTGTTTTTGCAAATATTTAGGGTTTGGAGTATGCATGCATATTGATTTGCATATTGATTTGTATATTGATTTGTATATTGATTTGTATATTGATTTTTTCATATTGATTTGGATGGTTCGCAGAATCAATATGGTATATTGATTCTGCGAACCATCAAAATCAAGATATTGATTGTAATCAATATGGGATGCTCAGGGTCACAGGAGGTCCTTCTGGGGCCCCTCACCCCCAGTGGGGGTGGAAGCATCACAGGCCTCACAGCAGCAAGCCCTGAGCGGCACACAAGCTGCTGCCGGCGACGCTAATCCAGAGGTTGCGTATGTCGCAGAGCCCGATCTGCAGGAGCGCACCCGCCTGCAGCGGGAGGTGCAGCGCACCCTCCCAGTATCGGCCTCCTCTTGTCGTCACCTTGCCAGCGGCAAGTTGCACCTAAGCCGCGCCGCGCACGCACAGCCGTCTCTCTTCAGCCACCTTATGAAGAGGAACATGAGCTGCACAGGTCGCAGCTCATGCCAGGCCGGCCACCCTGCCAGACTTGCTGCAGGGACCATATCGAATATCGTCGACAGAGTCGCCGTATTTTTGAGCAGAGCTCAGGGACGCCGCGTCGGCCCAGGCTCTCGCGGCAGTTACCCGCACATTCGCTACGAACCACGCCTTCTCCCGCCGACCACACCGCATCAGCGATGCGAACTCTGACGAACTTCTCTCGAAGCTCTTCTCCACGGCAGAGCCGGCGCTATAGACAGAGGCCGCAGTGCGGATCCTAGCCCTCGAAAGCCAGGCCGTCAGTATCCAAGATCCGCAAAAAAGGGTCGAGGGCGACAGCGTCGCCCGCAAGCGATTGCCTGCGCATGAGCGCGAGGGGCGCAGAGCCGCGCAGCTCGCGCGCCTCAAGGGCATACTCATCGATCGTGTGTGAACACGACTTCGCACATAGCCTCGTGAAGGTTGCGCTCATGCCGCAGGACGGCTTTCTCCGGTACACACCGCCGTCGCAGTGTGTCACTCGTGAGGCACGGATCGCCTCAGGGAGGCGTGACCAAGACTGCCTCTCCCTGAAGTCGGGGGAGACCACGGCCCACGCAAGCCCTCGCGCACATGAGTATCGCGCCCGACAGGGTATCTGCGCACCGGACTTTACGGTCCAGAGGATCGCCCGACAGTTCTTCTGCCTCTCTGACCGGCCAGCGCCGCCGGGGATAGAACGCGGCACAAATTGGCACGTGGTACGGGCCGCCAAAAGGCTGTGGACATTGCTGGTGCCAGAGTGTCACAAAGCAGGCACTCCAGACAAGGATGGTCAGAGACCACCCTACTCTCTAGCAGAGATCCTGTCGTACGATCCCAGCGTCACGTCACACCTTCTGCCCTTGCCAGTGGCGCACCGGGGTCGCACAGGAAAAGGCGTGGATTCAAGCGCGGTAGGGTAGACCGCAGTCGCAGCACGACTAGAAAAAAAAAAAAAAAAAGCCGGTCAGAAAAGCCGCAGCAAGAGCAAGCGAAAACAGCGCGAGAGCACAGACCGCTCTCGCCCGCACAGCGAACATCAGGAGCTTTTCCGCCTGGACAGCGTATCCAGCAAGAGTCTCTGCTGCGGTTTCATCCTGCAGCGCAGGCGTAACCTTGAGACTTCCTGCCTCGCCGGGCTGAGTGTCCAAAAACTGCAAGAGTGCATGCGCTGCGGCGGCTCCGCGCACAGCGCAGCCGACTGCCCCAAAATTGCAGGACCCGCTCGGCCAGGGGCCCTTCTTCCAAGCGCGGTAGAACCGCAGGACCCTTCGGCTAGTGATCCTCACGCTGGCACTTCAACCGCGCGCGACAAACCTCTTCAAACGCGAATAGCCGGGCAGCGCCCTGAGCCTCGCCAGTCGGCCAAGCCGTGGCAAATCCCTGCAATGAGTCCGCCATGGAGTTCGGCAGCAGCGCCGCCGTCTCCAGCTATAGTCCCAGTGAGCCAAGGGCCCCCGCCGCTGTTTCTGCCTCAACGGCAAAGTGTGCCTGCAGACCCCGCTCTCGGCACCGCACCTGCCAAGCTCGCTCGGTGTCCGAGCCCCCTTCCACCATTTTTACCGGAGGCCCGGTGCAGCCCCAGCCGCCTTAGTAAGCCGGCCGACGAGGAAGTTTTTTCGAACTTCGCAATAGCTTTGAAGACCAGGGCCAGCGGCCTGACGGTCTTGCAGCCAGTCCTCTGCACACGGCCAGGTGGCTGCCTGGGGTCAGCGGCGCTGCCCCATCAAGATCCCAGAGGAGTGCACTGGGCCCCGTCGTGTGGCGCCTTTAGCAGAGCTACAGCGATCCTCAGGCCGGAGGTGCCGGGGGCGCTACACAGCGAGTCTGGCCCAGCGGGCCTTCCATATCCGCGAGGTCAAGCGCAGGCTTGCGTTCGCAGCGCGAATCCCCTCGCATCTTGCACCGCTCACATTTGCCACACCCTGTCTCAGCGAGACGTTAGCTGGTCCAGGAAGAATCCAGCTGGAACCCTAATTTGAAAAAGCTCTGCCTACGAGCAGCGAGGCGGTCACCCCACAGAGTGGAGCCCGCCGCCTTCACACTAGCAGCATGTCTCG